ACTCATAGTTTGTAGAGGATTGGCAAGGAGGTGAGACTAGTCCGCTGGGAATTTCCACCTAATGGTTGGTGTAAAATTAATGTCTATGGTTCGAGGAGTGCTACAGGAGCGACGTCTGGTTGCGGGGGAGTTATCTATGATGCAACGGGGAGGTGAATCTTTGGCTTCTTCAAGAATTTGGGTACCGGTTCTTCACTTAGAGCAGAGATATGGGGTTTGCTCATTGGGATTCAGGTTGCCTGGGATCTTGGTCTCAAACAGATTTACATTGAAAGGAATTCACAAGTGGCAATTAATATGGTCTCAAACCATTGTGATAGGCAACATCCACTTGCCCCTCTTGTGCACCATATCCAGAGACTGATCAGAGAGCCTTGGAGGCCTACAGTTTGCCATACCCTTCGTGAAGGCAACATGGTGGCTGATGCTTTAGCTAAGCTTGGAAGTGAGCCAATTAATTGGGAGTTGCATGTTTGCAATATACCTCCTATTAAGTGCAGGGACCTCCTTCAAAGGGATTTGATGGGCACTTGTAGTTGTAGCCCAAGGGTTTGTAATCTGTCTTAGTTTTTTCTGTTTCCTTTTATTACAAAAAGAGAGAGAATAATATCACTTTTGATATAGATGCTTAGATTTGCTAGGTAGTGTTAGAGATGAGAAGAAAACTTAAATAATGATACGAGACACAAATGAAGGAATACATGTGGTTACAAGATAAGGACAGTAACTAGAGATATTATTTAACTCTAAGTGTTTGGCAGAGAAGATGTTTTTTTTTACCAATCAAAAAAATTTGTCATAACATGATGGAGAAAATTTATAGCCAGAAAAGATAAGAAAATGTGTTTGGTAGGGCAAAATTTATTGCTGGGTAAGATAAGAGAAGGTGGACAAATTGTTTTACCATACCTTGGATGGTAAAGTTTCCTATTGATATCATGTGTAAAATTGTTACCCATAAAAAAAAATTTGCCAATCACTTTTTTATTTTACTCCTATCAAATATAGCTAAATTATTTTCCTCACCTCACTTTTCTGGACAATTTTTTTTTTACCTCCTACCAAACACCTCCTTAATCAATGTCGAAGCCAGGATTTATCGTAAGGGGTGAAATTATATTTATTTTAAAATTTAAAATTTAAAATAAAAAAATTATATAATTGAATAGAAAAACTGACAATATATAAATTGTTTTGTATGAATTATAATACAATTTAACATAATATAAATAAAATTACTCAAATCAATTGGATTAACTACAAAATAAAATCAATTCTATTTATTATATATTGATATTGATATTTAGATAGATATTAAATATGTTTGAGATTCATTAGAAAATAAAATAAACTTACCCCAGTACCACTTTTGGAAGGGGTTTAAAGCCTTAATCCTGGACTCGTCCCGAATCGGATTAATTACGAAGCAATGAACCGATTGGAATATTTCCAAAAAAATAAATAAATAAATTTGCCATGTTAAAATTTATTTTGTATCAAATTTCAATTTTTATTTTTATTTTTATTATTTAATTAATTAATTTATTATATATTGATATTTTGAAGGGCATCAAACCTATTTGAGATTAACTAGAAAACAAAAATATTTTTATCATATTTAAATCCAATTTATAAAAGTTTACTTCTATATCTTAAAATAAATAAATGATGAAAAAAGAATCACCATTCATTTGTTATCATCTTTTATCCTCCTCCTTCTTCAAAATTTGTGGTTATTTATATCAGTTACGGTTAGCTACAATTTTGAACACGGCTAAAAATCATTTTTTTTTATAATGTTTTGGTCAAACTTAACTCAAACAGGGACATATTGATACATAATTTAAGAAAATAAATAAAATAATAAATTAATTTTAAAAAAGGACAAAATAATCAATCAATCTTAATAGACGCAATATTTTCAAATAATCAAGTATCACGTAAGAACATTCATTCCGGCCATACTTATTTTTGTGGTAATAATTCATTGGCTATTATTAACCAATCATACGAATAATAATAACTGATAACAAATGTGACACCGTTCAATGATTATTGTTGATTATGATAATCACTAAATAGTTATTAACCCATCTATGGGTAATAACTATTGGCAATAAATTGGCCAATAAATATTACACTGCTTACCACTTAAAAATAAGATAGTCATTCACTATAATTAAATTTAAGTTCAATAACTGAAAAGTTTTTACAATGTTCACTACTAAAAAACGTATTTTTTTGACAAAAAAAATTGCGTTGAAAATAAGGTTTTTGACGGAAATAAAGTCGTTGAATATTTCTTCGTGGATAACAATTTTTTCGATGAAATTAGATATTATGTCTAAAAATTTTCACGGAAATGATTTCTGTCAAAAATTTCAATTTAACAGATACCATGATCTTAATTTAACATATATTTATATATATAAGTCAGTGTCATATACTAGTCAAAAGAGTCTTATATGTATAAATGTCAAAACACATATGCTAATCAAAAGAGACATATATATACAAAAGTCTATATCATATACTAATAAAAAAAGTCGTACATCTATAAATATTCAAGACATATACTAATCAAAATGGACATACATATATAAAAGTCCCTGTCATATACTAATCAAAAGAGTCCTATATCTATAAATGTCTAAGACATATTAGTCAAAAGGGACATACATATACAAAAGTCCATGTCATATACTAATCAGAAGAATCTATGAACAATAGTCCATGTCATATACATCCAAACAAAATACAAAAATTATGTTGGTGAATGACTTGCATAATCGTAGCCATCATCTAGGTTCCATCTATGGGGGCTTATGATAAAAAACAAAAATTACTAAAAAGAATAGTAGCAGAGAGAAAACTAGTTTCGTACATAATTAGCAATGAGCATGTGGAGACAAGACAACCATCCAGGTAATCAGGATTTGTTTTCATGCTAACCAAATTTGGATTAGATTGGAGCTGTTACATTGAGAGATTTACTCACTAGGTTAGAGATATTAAAATGAACTGGCCCAACTCAAGCATAGTATATTTTGGGCCAGTATTTTATAATTTGGCTCCACTCAATGCAAGCTATAGGTTGCATGGGTTAATTTGTCGATACACAATTTTTATTTTTATTTTAAAAAAACGAAATAAATTAATTGATTGCTAGTTTATACCCATGAAAAAAGAAACTTAAGCGTATTATAATTTTCCCAAAAACCTAAAACAATGTTTTCATGTGTAATTATATTAATTTTGTAATTCATTAACGTGAAATAATGATTGATAATTTATAAATAGAGCAACTTTCAAGTTCTTATATCAGTATATTCGAGAGTAAGTTGCTTATATGATTTTGTCATATAAAATTTATATATATATATATATATATGTGTGCGTGTATTTTTTGTTATATTCAGAAATTCTAATAGTATCTCATCTATTATTTAATGTTTATAAAAAAAAAATACAAGATTTTTACGTGATCATGTCACATAACAATATTACAAGAAAATATCAATTTTCATATTTATGCATATAATTTCAATTTCTCATGTAATCATCACAACGGTTTGTCGAAACTTAGACTTAACTGAAAAACTTTTTCAAGACTCGTTTAAAAAGATGATCAACTTCGTAGTTTTTCGAGTATATTACAAAAAAACCTAATTTACACGCATTATTAGTGTAAAATAATTATATTATTATCTAATATATAATTATTTAACTAATAAATTTATAATGTATAAAAAAACTCAATAAAAGATCCAATAATACATTATTAATTAATAATGTAAAATACATCAAAGTTAAATTTATATTCAAATTAATTTATTGGTTTCAATATTTTTATATTTTATCCTTATATACAAAAACATAGGTTTGATTTTTTAATTTTTTTTTTCCGGATACTAGGCTTAATTTTGAATATAATTCAAAGTATCCCTAACCGACAGTCAAAAACTAAATTCTCTTACCTATTCCAACTAGGCTTAATTTTCAATAATCATGATTATGATTTTATTTTTTCTTTCCGTTAATTATTTTTTTCGCTCAAGGTCAATATTAAATCCATCAAAACTCATCTTATTACATATATTGTTTCTATTACATTCTACACAGTATGTTGTTTTGCATCTTACGTTATTTTGTTTATCAAAATGAATATAAATCGAATTAAGTAACCAAATATCATATTTTGAAAAAGTTAAATGGTTATATATCCGAATGTATAACAATTTTGAAAAATTGGAAATAGAGTATATATATATATTGAAAAAATATTTCTCATGTTGCATGAGAAGTGTTTTCTCGCGTCGTGACTATTCAATTTGCATATAAAGTTTTATTTTTCTTTTTTAATAAGTGTGGGACCCGTAACAAGTTGAGTCACAACATAAGAATTCAATTCTCACGTAACATGAGAAAATCAAAGCCCATTTTTATTATGTGTTAGTGAAAATGATCTTGTTATTTAAAAAAATGGTTTTATGTTTATCATTTAACATAATATAACTTCACTTTCCTACACACACATTAAAGAGGTGAGGTCCACATATTTTTATTTCTCTTTCATCATTCCACTTTCTCTCTCCCTTTTGATGTGAGAGTTGGAAACAACACTTACATCATGTTACATAACACTAATAAAACCTTTAAAAAAATTATAATTATATAAAGATAAATTAATTATGATAAGGAAAGAGAGAGAAATAATATTGAGATAAATAATTATACTTTTTGATTGATTAAGAATCTCTTATGTAAGGATAAATGAGCTATCTAAATACATTTTTTTTATACGAGTAAAAATTAAATATGTAACTTAATACAATCTAATATCTATCCAAATTATTCATTATTAACCAAATCTAGTGGTATGGTATCTGAATGCATTGTATTCACGTGTAAGAAGAGAAAAGTGGCAAGATGGCCATGTGTACGCCACTTGGACAATTCATGGTCTCCGTCATTTCATTCGTATATCATAATATCCCATTGTTTCTCTCTCTCTTTTTGCTCTCTCTTTCTCTCTCCACCGAGCACCAACTTTCTAGTTTTTCTAGTTCTCAATCTCACTAATCTCAATCTCCCTCCGCATAAGGCTGTGTTTGGATGGCGAAGAAGAGAAAGTCGGTGGCGACGCGCCTCGACGAAGTGGATCGCACCATGTACTCCACCTTCTGCAGCACCGCCAACTCCCTCTCTCATCTCTACACTCACGCCATGAATCAACAAAAACTCTCCTTCCAAGCCGGTGAACGTCACGCTCTGGTTTCTACCTTCCTTCATCCCCTCTGCTAATTCGTTCTTCAGCTTTTCCTGATTCTAATTAATTAATTAAATACGCACCATTATATATTTATTTATTTAATTTTGAATAAAAACTGGATTCTGATGTTGCGTCTTTTTGTTTCGAATTGCCCTTTACAGTTTTAGGGTTACCGCGTAGGCTGCTGAATAGTTCAATTTCAGATTTGCATTTCAATGAATCTATGACTTGACAAATTCCAAATTCATTATTGAACTAACTTGGGGACTGTTTAGGTTGCACATTCAAGTTCCTAATTTGTTGATATGATTCCGATGGATTGTACATAAAATCTGGATATTGCTTATTCTTTTGGTTTTGGTTTGTTGCTTGGTGTGTTTGGATTTGTTGCTTGCTGTTAAAATTTTGGTTATTTGAATAACACTGCTTCTATTTCCTTACAGGAGAAAATGTATCAATGGATTCTTAGACAACAACAAGAAGGATCAAGGGTGTCGACGATTGATATAGTTGCTCACTTGCAGGTTTTTTAGTCTCTGCAATTTTTACTGATATTTCTTTTTGGGATTTTTTTAGCATTACTTTTTTAATGGAAATACTCTCTCTCTCTCTCTCTCTCTCTCTCTCTCTCTCTCTCTCTCGCTCGCTCTCTTCCCTCTCCTTCTTCCATCCAAATTGCTACTGCGCTATTTTGCTCTTTATATTATGAACCATAATGGAGTAGGTACTCAACATTTATCTTGCATCAAGTCTATCTTTGCATATAGCTTATAGGTCCCTTAGTCAATTGCTTTGAATGTGAAACTGCCATTTAATGGACATCATCCTTAAACCTTTGGTTTTAGTAGTAGTTATGGGTTTACCAGAAAACCTTTCAGCCTGTCTTTGGTGGCTTTTCTGGACACTGAAAACTATGGCTGTCTGCTTTTTTTCGTGTCCGTGATTTTTATTTGTAGAAGAGTTTGGTCTTATGTTATGTGTCAACCAGATCTTGATTGTTGAACTATAGTCACGGAATGAAACAGAAGCTCCTTTTTTCTCACTTCACTTGGACTGGAATTCCCTATATATGATATGTATATACACATATCTTACAATTATATTATTTCAGGTTATCTATCACACTGAATTAATCTATTTTCAAATGTATCGAAATAGCTGAATAAAGATATAACCATGAGCTATGCATGTGCGTGTAGAATGAGCTTGAATATGGAGCAGAGGAATCACCAATGTCCCCAAGGCAGCCAATTCATCAACAGAACTCCCAGACTGCAATTCACACTAACTTTGGTGCATCCATACCCCCTAATGCATTTGGAACAACTTTTGTAGGGCAGGGGATACGTACTGGGCAACATGATCAACAAGCAAAAAACTCTGTATTCTCAAATGCACTCTCTAGCCCTATTCGTCGCAGCCTTCAGCCATATCATTTGGCACAGGGAAGCTTTCCTTCAAGCAATATCATGTCATCAGGGAATGGAACCCGGAACAATGAGGTGACTTATCCTAGTGGCCAGAACAGGGATACAAATTCTTCCAACTCAAGTGATTGCATGGACATGCATGCAGACAGTCCTGGTCATGATTTTTCATACTGATGCTGTAATAGTTAGAATAGAGAACAGAAAAGATGTCATTTCTGAAATATGTCGTCATAAATGTGTGGAAAAATGTTAAAATTTATTGTGGATAGACTTCAATTTATTTGTGTACCATTGTCATCCAGTTTGAAGCTTGAACATCAGTCTACTATGTTAGCAGATAGTTTTCAAAAAAAAATGTTGGTCATTTCATTTCCTAAGTATATATAGACATATACAGTCATACTAGTTTCTGTTATTTGCATGGAATTTGGCGAAGTTAAGGTCTTAAACTACTAAAAAGTTATTCTGATTAATAAATCAAAATTTGTATGTGTAATATGTTTGTAATGTTTTAAAATTATACACTTAGCCGGGTCGAATCTACAAGAGAAGCTGTCTTAAGTATAGGCCAAATCAGTTTTTTTTCCCCTAAGACACGATTTAAAAATTCATTTCAATAATCATTATAAGCAAGTATATGATATTTCTATCAAAAACTATATTTTATGTTAATTTTAAGGTCTATAGATTGAGTAAGAAATAATGTTAATGATAAAATTTTAAATGTGATACATATGAGTATGAAGTTTTAATCTAATCAAATAAAATATTATATATATATATACATTATCCTCTACTTAATATTTTTGGAGTCAGTGGTCAAATCTTTGACAAAACAAAATTTTCAAGAAAGCTCTTACATACTTTCATAGTATATATAAAATTGTAACAGAGACATATAATATAAAATATTTGAGATGATTATCTTAACTCTTAAGCATGAGTGCATTTTTAGTGCAGCGGTAATACCTGACATTTTTACTTAGAAATGACATATGGATTAATTTTTTTTTTCTCTTTTTCGCACAACTAACACATTTTTTTCTCCAACTTTGATTGGCCCGTTGCACCATTTGGTGCGACGTGAGTAACTTAAAAATTTCGCTTAAGCATAGCCTGGTCCGAAAGATTTGGTTTCTCTACCTAATATCGAAAAATAAACAAACTGACCAAAAAATTAAGAAATAAAAAGGCAACGTAATTATAGATGGTTGAGTTATAGTTTTAAAAAGTTGGAAAAAGTATTTGACATTTTAAATAACATAATTTTATATTATTTTTAATGAAATTGCGTTATTTTAGTGTATTTTTACATTCTATCTCTTTCATTTTCTATTTCTTCCGAATTTTATAAAAAAATAAAATATAAAATGACACAAATTTATTTCATTTAGGGTGTGCATGACAACTAGGGGTGTAAATGGGCTGGGCTGGGCTTTGGCCATCCTGGCCCAAGCCTACGTAAATAAAAATTCAGCCTATTTGGCCTACTAGCCTATTAAATGCTTTATTTGTAGGCCAAGCCCGACCCATTTTCGAAAATAAGAAAGCCTGACATGGCCTACAGGCCTTGTAGGCCTCCCACTATATATACTAAGCAAAAAAAATAATTGTATAGAGCAAAGAAAGTTCCATTTATGCATGCACTTGTAGTTCTCATAAGAAAAAAATGACAAACAAGAAAGAGTCAACATAATACCTCAGCTCTAGAATGTATATCATAGAGGAATAGAGTCAAAGAAATGAGAAAAATAAGAAAAATACAATTACTGGATGCTGAAATAAAGTCTACAAGAGAATGTCATTTATCTAAAAATCTTTAAACCACCATCAAGACAAGGGAAAGAAGAGTATTATTGAAAGATCTTCATCAGTAACATCATAATCCAGCAAGGTACCCATTGCTCCATGGTATTAAGCTGCAACAACATGTAAAATTTGGAGACATTAGACAAGTTTTCCTTTCATAAAATAAAATAGCACAAAAGGTAAGAGATATTGGTATTTGGTATTTTGAGTCTTTGCAACATAAAATAAATATTGTTTTTATTATTTTATTTTAATAAATTAAATAGGTCAGCCTACAAGGCTGTAGGCCGGGCTTGACAAAATTGGCCTATGGCCTATTTATTAAAAAAGGTTTTTTTATAAGCCTAAGCCTACTCTACTTTTCTGAAAGGCCGGGCCTGAGCTGGGCTCAATGTAGGCCGGGTCGTAGGCTGGGCTGGGCCAGCCTGACCCATTTACACCCCTAATGACAATCTTCGCGGAATCAATTTTTCTTATTTCTGTTCCCGGGGACAGAAATGGATAAAAAACTCATTTGATAAAATCAGTTTATTTTTTTTTTTGTTCCTGCAATAAACCGGTTTAATTTTTGTGCTGGGAAGAGAAAAAAGAATAAATTTTTTTTTTTTTTGTTCCCGGACACAAAATAAGAAACTCTTATTTCTCTCATCACGCTTCACCACTATCATCATCATCTCTACCACCATCCTCATCCTGACATGACCGCCGCCACCATCATTATACCACCAATGTCGTCGTCACCACCACCACCACAACGACGACGATGCCATTGCCACCACCACCACAACACTACCACCACCATCACCACGCCACCACAATTACCACCACCACTATTGATGATCCAAAAAAACTTATACTTAATTGAAATTATTATTTATTATAGTAGTTGTTGTGTTATCAAAGCAATTCTTATTCTTAAAATCAAAATAGAATATGTTATCAAATATTTTTTTTTCTGACAATGTGCAGAAATAGATTATTATTATTTTTTCAAAATGCACCCCGTTGGTTTTCCAAAACCTGCGATTTTGCGCCAGCGTGGGCTTTAACGTGTATATTAGGCCCATAAGTCAAGGAAACGCAGATGAAAAGTGATTGTGATTGGCGCCTTGGCCTTGAAAATGATGTGGGTCCTTATTTCGCTCCCTCTATTTACAAAGTTTCAACATTCATTCCCGCGCACACTGCTTCTGTTCCTTCCTTCCTTCCTTGCTGCTTTCTCTGCGATTCGGTTCAGTTACTCCTCCGTCGGTGGCTTCTCGAAGGTTCTAAATTTCAACCCAAAAATTAACCTATTGAATTCTACTTCCTTCTTCTTTGCTAAACTTAATCATCGTTTTCCGCCGATAAAACCTGTTTTCGATGTTCATGGCCTGCATCTGAGTATCACTCGCCTTCACCTTGTTTTTCCACTCATCTACTTTCAATGTTCATTCTTTCTTTTTTAGCATCACTCGCTTACATAATACTCGAATATGGTTTTGTTGCTTGCTGTGTCGTGGTATTTATGTTCTTCTTAATCTGAATCACAGAATAATCAAATTAGGGTTTTGCCACGCACGAATATACGATGCTAATGGTACGATTGCTTGTATCATTATTGTGATCCAAATCACAATTCGGAATGTGGAATTGACTATTAGTTCTGTCTTTCTTGAAATTTAGTCTTCTCTTCTCACAAGTTTGGCATATTCGATGATTGTGTATGAATAGGGACGAAAAGGAAAAAGACATCTTTGATAATTATAATGGATTACAGAAAAAAGGGGGTTACTTATGGTGAATTTCCCCCACAATTCCAAGTTTAGTGTTTGTGAAAATTTTGAATCTTCTTTACTGATTTGTAGCTGATAAAATGTCTGCATAATTATTCTTATTGCTTTTATAGACATCGGTGGGTCTGTTATGGTTCCGATGTGAGAAATTTCTTGAGAGGTGACAATTTATTTTAACTTAAGTTGCTGGTATATAATCTGAGAAACTATCAGGACCTTTTTGTTGTAATCTAATGTTATCTGTTTGGTTTTATGATGTCATGACAGTAGGTACTGAACCTATGCCTGGGTGATTTTTATTTTATGATTTTTCTGGTTCTTAGTTTTGATTATTACTTGAACCTCTTCATCTAAATTGTTGCTGTGGTGCTTTCTCTTTAATTTTGGTCATCTGTTGGTACTTTTTTTACGAAGGATAAGAACATATATTATTTTATTCTTATCACTTTCAGGAAGGTTGAACGATCATGAAAACAGGTAGGTCACTTGACCGCAAAGCTGTGAAGGCTTCTGGAAAGTGCAGTCTAAAGACAGGGTCCATTGGAGTGAAAAATTCTTCCAAGAGAACAAATAAATGGGATCACCAAGCAAGAGGTGATATACTTTAGCCTATCTACCATTTATATTGTTTTTAATAATAGTTTGGTTTCATATTATCTCCCCTCTTGATGTACTGAATTGCTGTGTCTGTATCTTAGAAAAAATGTTTTGGATTCAACTTGGTAGGTTCAATTAGCCAATTACGAATATTTCTGCCAATGAACTGAATCTTTTTAATTTCTTGGATGAGGCAACACTAGCTTTGAAATTTACTCAAATATTCATTTTCCATTATCTTGTACATTTTGCTAAATATAGCTAAACCTTTTTCCCTTTAGGATGTGGTGAAGAGTTGTTGACTGATAAAGGGAGTCAGCATTTTCCATTTAATGAACCTGTGAGAATGTGCCCAGAACTTGTCAATAAAGATACTTTTCCACCGGAAAAGAGGGAGGTGTTTGAACTTTATCCAAGACAAACACTTGGTTCTTCTGCAAAGATCAAGTTACAACTTTTTCCTATAAACGAAGGAACTCGAATAGGACTTGAAAAGGTCAAATGGTGATACATGAAGCATTTGGACAAATTAGATATACTTTACACCTGTCCTGGCCTGTATGTAATAATCGCAATCCGGCTGCGACTGTAATAAGTCATAATGCTTAAACTCTTCTTTTTCAGGATGGGCATAATCCATATTTAGAACTTACACTTAGTGGTCGAAAGAAAATCTCTTCAGTGATACAACACCTTGAAAAGAAGTGGGGAAGTTCAAGTATAGCGAAAGGGGAGCCTATGCTTTTTCCATACTATATAATGGAAAATCTATCTGACTGCAGAAGGTGGACAATTGATGATACTGAAACAACAGCTACTGCTGTCTATGCTGCCGTTGGAAGCCCTGAAATTTTCCGGTTGAAGTATAATATCTGATCGTTTTCTATCATATGTTTTCTTTTCTTTGTGGAAATTAGGTTGTTTATAATTATATTGTTTTGTAACTTGTTCTCTCTTTTAAGGTACGGTTGGTTCTACATACATGAACCTAGGTCTTTTGGTATACCTTCCACACCAATTCCCTATGAGTCTGGTGTACGGTCTGGAGGAACAGAGGGTGGTAGCAATGATAATTTAGAGACTTTATCTGATGAACAGGACAGGGTTCGGGTTAAAAGTAAGGAACACATTGCAATTGATGTGGGCAATGTAGCAATTGAAAATGTGGCTCAGACAATGTACAATGCATCTGCTGATCCTCTGGTAAATTGTTATTTAGATATTTTGTTGTGCTTGACAATAACTTTCAGATAGTTGCATTAAATTACACAAATTTTATTGCAGGAGATTTGGGTGTTGCTGGGGGATCTGGTTTATACAAATATTTGTTTTTTATGTGTGTCTTAAGGAACATTAAAATGATGTTTATGATGATTTGCTTCATTGACTAATAGAATTATGTGGAAAGTTTTGGAATATATGATATGGAAATTTGCAAGAATCGTTCAAAGTGCTGTTAATTAGTCATATTTATGGCAGCATAAGCATAAAAAAAATTGGACTTTTAGTGTAAATAAAATTCTTATTTATGGTTCTCTGCATGTTTAAGAAATCTTTTGTTGGTTGGCCCTGAATTCTAAAATGAATTTCGAATGCATCTATTGTTTGTTTTCTCAAAATATGCTTGTTTTGTTCTAACTAGGATAACGAGCCAAGAGTAAGCAGTTGCCTTCAACAGCCATCGTTACCATGGGTTGATAGTCTAACCAATATAAGCATTGGGGGTCTCCTTTCTGAAGCATCCTTACAGGGAGGGTTTGATCCAAAATCATTTGGCATCAATGGCATGCAAACAAGTCAAATAATTTCTGATTCATTGGATGCTTTTATCGCCACCCAAATTTGTCATCCTCCTGTTTCAAGACTATCTACTGAAGACATGCGAACATCTATATTAGATGCTGAAGAAACATGTCATGCATTTCCTATTCGAAAGTTATCTTGTCCAGCAGATGTACAAACTGCTAGTGGAAAGGATTCTTCTGTGGCCTGCAGTCAGGATGTTTCTTCAAACTCATCAAAGTTGTCAAATACAGACAAGGTTAGATGGTCATAGTCTTCAATGATAAGCTATTATTGAATTATGAGATAGTTTCGTGTGACTTGTATCTGGATTTGTAAAAACTACCAATTTCTTTTTGTAATATAGCTCATAACTCACAAGTTATTTTCTGGCTGTTTTTTAAATCACTATTTTCTTCCAACTTGAATAATTTATTTTGAAATAATTAGATTTAGCATATTAAATTCGTTTTTGGCCCATTTTTTGGGTTTAATGTGAGGAACATCAACTTTTTGATCCGGTACGTCTTGTTGGTCTAAGGTCTTTAACTTTTGTTTGAATAAGATAGATCTTTTTAAGGAGCAATTTATAATTGGATATCATTTTCATCAGCTTTATGAATACTTAGTGTCAACAGGGCCTCTATGAACAGAATATTTAATGTTTCAAATGAAGCTAAGGCTGCAAAAAAGTGCCTTGCTAATCAAATAGCATTTTAATGTTGCATTGGGACGGAAATCAGGCTTCCGAGTTGATGTGGTATTGAGATTATGTTTCATTTGTAGGCAATAAGTTGGATGGAAGCTTTGCTTTGTTATCCATCATTATTTTGCACTTCACTGTCTCTTCTGGTTTTTTCAAGGTTAATGATCAAGATGGACTTTCACAAAATCCTCCATCCGGGAAGACTCAGACAGACTGGTTGCTTTCTTCCCGTTTGTATGATGATGAAAGAAGTCTTGGGTTAACAGGCATCAAATGGGTACTTAGATTTTCTTGTTGAAGCATTTCAGTGTTTCTTATGTTTACTCCCTGATTACTGATTTAAGTAATATACTATCTGTATTCAGAATGACTCTTTGGGACCTTTTGATCTTGGCATCCCTGCTAAGAAGCTTATTGGCGGAGACAGTGTTAGTATCGGTGGGTTTGTTAAATAGCTGCTTGGATGCATAAGTTGGAGACCAAATGACAGTCATTTTGAAGATACGTGCTTAGGAAAGAGAAGGAAAAATAAATTGTACATAACAGAGAAACACTTGTTGAAGAGCCACCAAGGGCGAAAAAAGGAAAGAAAGAAACGAGCCTGACAGAATACTGAGTTATCAGGTGTAAAAATCAGAGTTATAGGGGGGACTGATATTTCTGTTTTGCATTATCTTGCTTCGTTTTAGAGCCCAACTTTTTATAGCTTGTTATTTTTATTTTATTTTATTTTATATAATGATGACACTAAATTTGAATCTATAACTCTATCCAAACTATCTAATTTGCTCATCCCTAAACCACTTATAATAACTTTGTTTTATGGATTTTTTATTTTGCTGTAAACGGAAAAAATTTCTATTTTTTATCAAGGCAAAAATTATCTCTTATCATTGACTTTTCGATTTTCATGCATTATTTTATTTTTTTAATAGATGTGAGTCTTAGATAAGATGTGTTTATAACATTAGAAATTTTTTTTGAATTGCACGAGAAAATTGAAATCTACAAATATATATATATATATATATATATATATATATACAGTTTTAAATTTTTTATTTGTCTTATTCTCGTCAATTTTTGTCCCATTCCCGCTGCCACACATGCCATTTCAACGCACACTCACAACTCTCAAGGACCTTCAATTGTCAATAGACAATTAGACATAGACTCAATACCGCAGAAGGCTATCTCATTCCCAATCCCAATTTCAGCTCCTCTTTAGCCGAACAAACCACAAGCCCAATCGGGGCCAAATGTTCCTTTCATATGGGCTTTTGGTATCTACTTTGGACCGATTAATCTTTTATTCCACTTGTTGTTTGGATATGGTCTTTGAGCTGTACAATGGTCTCAGTTAGTAGGTTAAGGTTTTATTCTTGTTAATAGGTTGGACCAGGTTAAGTGTTATGTTAAATAAACATTTTTTATTATTATTAAAGGAAATATAAAAAAGTTAAATATTGTGAGGGATAAGCATACAAAAATGGATTGGATAGAGAAAAAATATCAAAATTAAAAAAGTTACAAAAACCTGAGAAATTAATGTTTAAAAAATTACAAAATGCCAAAAAGTTGAAATTGAAAATGTGGATTGGTTTAAGGGTAAAGTGTGTGTCATTTTAAAGGATGTAAAGTTGTGTCATTTTAAGAGAGAGAAAGAGATAGATAAAGGAGGAGAGAGAGTTGACAAAAAAAATAAAGGTGTGGGTCCCACCTCTTTGTGAGAGTGAAATGATATAAGTTGTGTCATTTAAAAGGATAAACACTTGTCCCTTGGTTTAAATAGACTTTGATTTTCCTTTGATTTTATGCCAAACGCAAGTTGCTTGTTTCAATTATACTGTTGTTGAATAAATTTTTATTTCTTTAACATTTTATTGTTCTTTATTAATTAATAAAAACTAATCAACTGATAATAATTTCTTAACGTGTTGAAATTTAATTGATGATTCATTTGTTTTTTATTTAAATTGTAAACATTTATTTCATTTTTTTTTAATTTTATATTCATATGCATGTCATGGTTTTATTATTGAATATTTATTTATTTTATTATTTATTTTATGGTTTTAATATATTTATATTATCATAATGAGAAAAGTATTTCTCCAGTCATCGGAGATAAAATTATCTCTAGTGAAGTCAAAACGACGTCGTTTTGGGTTATAAGATTAAAAAATTATAATGATAAAGATTAATATAACCTGCAATATATTAGAATTATAAAAATACTTTGATTTTTGTCCCAAAATGATATTATTTTGAGCTACCGGAGATAACTTATCTGATATCTCCATTGACTGAAAAAATCATTTACCCTGTCATAATAAGCACAGCTAGCTTATAAATCATCTTGGGACAAATTGTTGTGAATTCAATTAAAATCTTATTTTCATAAATATTTTTAAATTTCCCCCCTCTATCCAAATAAATAAATTGGTGACAACTCTTAAATAATATTTTATTTTTTACTTCTGCATCATTCTTTTAATTTTTGACATATCCTTGGGTTTATCGATTATTCAACTAATTTCATTTGAGTATTGTTGGCTCTCCTAAAACCATTTTTTCCATTCCCAAGAATTTTTGCATCATTGTAATCATGACAACAATGCATAATTTATTTGTTTTTTGAGATTTCTATATCGATTCATCGTACTAATTCGGTTGAATTGAGCAAAACCACGAGGATAATAAAGCTTTTTCTACTAAATTTTTAACACAGCTGGATATTTAGAATTCAAATTTGAGATCACTAATTAAGCCTGATTCACGTGCTTTGAGGTACAATACATAATCTTTATACTATGTGGTGGTAGGCAAATATTTTAATTTTTAAGTACCACATAAAATAAAATAGAAAAATAGAATATCACGCAACACACTCACCTATTGTAGGGTAAGAGTACTAAAAATATTCTTGTGCCGTAGTTCGTTGAATGTAAGTTTGAAAATACAAAACATGTGAATTAGCTGGTGTAGCGAGAACTTATCTATTGATTTTGAGTTTGAGTAATTAAAAACTCGATAGTAAGAACTTTATATCAGTCTTATAATTTTGTGGACTAGACCAAATTAATTGAATAATTGAGGAGAAATTAAAAAATAAATAAAAAATACATGGAACTCGATCAATCATAGGAATTACTCTGTGCTCAAACAGGAGAAAATGAATTTATATTTTTACGTGGCGTGCGTATCGAGTAATGTATGTGCCTGAGCATGTTGTGAGTTGTGACTACGACCCGGTTCGTTAAGAACGTAGTTCTTACATCGTAATTGTTGGTGACATTGATTTTGTAGTCTCATACGCAATCGCCATTGACGGAGAAAGCCAATGTCCTTTCCCATAATTTCAAAGATATCTATTAACATTAATGGTGTCGTCTCCATGCACCTTCTTTTCACGTTCTCCTTCAAACGCTTGCTTCCATATTATTTTCCTTTTTATTGGTTACTATAGTTATATAGTATATTAGAAAAAGTGTGTATCATTTTAAAGGATGTAAAGTTGTGTCATTTTAAGTGAGAGAAAGAGATAGATAAAGGAGGAGAGAGAGTGGACAAAAAAATATAAATGTGTGCGTCTCACCTCTTTGTGAGAGTAAAATGATATAAGTTGTGTCATCTAAAAGGACAAACACTTTTTCCTAATATATTATATGCTCTATCTTATAATCAGCGGTGGAGCCAGCCACGAATTTGGATGGTGCAGGGTAAAAATAAAAAATATTATATTATAAATAAAAGTATTTAAAATATAATATAGACTTAATATAAAAATATTATTATAATAACCACTTAAAAATCATAATAAACAATCAGTATCCGATTCTTCCCTACTTTTTTTGTCTCTAATATATTGACCACTTGATTCGATAAACTTGATACAAATTGTAAAAGTTATTGGCCAATGGTTGAGAAAGAAACTCCTCAGTGAAGAGTTTTTTAATCCAGACGAGACAATAGATCTGCTAGCTAAACTTATTGGATTGATTAAGCCATCCTAATTGTAAATGTGTATCCACAATTTATGTTTCTAATCAATTTTTGAATCCTATGCTAATTTGAGCGTTAGAGTTTCCCCTAAATTAACTTATTTTACATATACATGAGTTATGCTCATTAGGACAATGTTAATTAATTACTCTCCCTTTGCCCTATTAACTGATCAGTATGTGTTTATTTCATAAGATTACATCGGAAGCATGATAATATACCTGAAACTGAAGCTATTTGACCACCTAGTCATTCTTAATCATTATATTGTAGCCAAAAGTATAAGCAGTCACCATTAAGATTCACTTGTTCTTACTTTCGACAGAAATACTTTCCTCCAGAGTTCAGTAAAATCACTTCCATATTTGGTTGGATCTTGTAAGGATAGAGTTGCAAGATAACATAGCCTTCTAAACTAACATAGAAGACCCCTTCTATTGTCTCTTCTAAACTAACATGGAAGACCCTTCTATTTTTATTGCCTTTTTATCTTGCAAAACTTTTGATATGAATTATTCAACTTAATATAAAATTTATCTTGTAAATTTTACTTAATTTGATTTTTTATAATGAGAGTTATCATAACAATTATTTTTTTTTTTTATAAATTATACTATATCTTATCAATAAAACTTCGTGTCTACCTGTAAGACTTCATATAATTTATAAATAAAAAATTTGTAAATATAAACTTCCTTATATTATATCACTAAACTATAGATCTCATCTTGTCCTCAGCTAAACAACACCACGCGAAACGTCAACGTTAGACTGGTGTTGCATCTTCTAGGTGCTTGCTTGCGGGAACCATTCATGATTCGACACGACACATAACTTTTCAACGCATCAGCATCCAAATATTTTGTTGACGAATACTCCAAAGTTCTCACTATTTAGGGGGGCGGAGCCACCCCTAGTAGCTCCGCCCCTGGTTATAATACATGGTTATTACCGAAACACAGATATTTGAAGTTTCGAGTAGTCTCCATGGGAGGCGTTAACGGCAAGTATGATAACTCCCGAAACCGAAACCGCGAAGTTGAGAGGTTGAAACGGTAAAATGAGTATTCAAACAGGGGTTCTGCACCTAAACCAATAAGACACAAGGATTGTGATAAGGGAGAGAAGGAGATAGTGATAGTTAGTACGTAGTTGATGAGACTAAGAAAAAAGTAGTAGTTAGTACGTAGTGTTGGAGGAAGAGAAGGAGATAGTGATAAGGATAGAGTAAAGGGTGTCGTTAGAAACGCTGACAAGATCAGTGAGCTTGGGAATGTTTTAATGAGGTCGGAGGAAAAGAAGAAGATTGCAAGCTATGAATTTGTTGATGGCTGGCCAACATGGCTTGTTGATAATATCCCCCAAAAACTTTTTGGCTAGTTTGGTACCAAAGTGCTGAGTCCCATGAAAAAATTGATAAGGTCAAGAAATAGGGTTTTATAAGAATTACGTGGTAGGAAAAGTGGTTGTGTAATGTTATAGAGATTCGTTTTGTGTGTCGTAGTTTTTTTTCTTCAAAAAGTGTGGGACTCACAAAATATTGTGTGTGTAGGAAAGTTTGTTGTGTCATGTTAAATGACAAATGCAAACTCCAAAGAATAATGAGAAATGTATTTCTTCTGTATAAAATTTTTTATGCAGCAATTTAACTATATATATATATTACGGATAGTGCATAGTTAATTTTTTTTTTGCAGCAATTTAACTAAGGGATTGGAAAGGCTCTTGGATGAGTGGTTTCTCTGTCTTTCTTGGCTCCTGCTCCCCATTACATGCTGAGCTCTGGGCTGTTTTTCATGGTCTATCTTATGCCTGGAAGTAAGGTTGGAGGAGAATTGTTTTGGAATCTGACTCCCTACAAGCATTAAGCCTTCTTACCAATGTTGGTAATGATACTCGAGAGCTTCACTTGGTAGCTAAGATTCGAGTTCTTCTGAATGATTGGAATGTTTTGCTGAATCGAATCCCGAGGAATTGTAACTCTTGTGCGGATTGGATAGCTAAACGAGCAGTGTGGATGACCCTCGTGGACTTACTGTCTTCTCATCCCCTCACAATGATATTGTTAACCTTCTAGCTGCTGATCTTCTGAACCCTGGAGCTGTGGCTGGCAGTTATTAGGAGGCTTTTTTTAGCTCTTTCTTTGATGTTTCTGTCTTGCTTTGTTTTTCTGTTCTTTTAGTCTCTCGTTTGTTTGTTCTGTTTTGGAGCTATACCCCTTCCTGATATCAAAAAAAAAATGATAAAATTATTTTTTCTCTTTTCGACAATATTTAAGGACAAAGAATTTTTTTTTATTATTATAATTACATACTACCTGTAATATATAATTGTAATAAGTTGCTATGAACACAAATTTTTGCAGGAAAAAAATACCCATAAGTAATATTATCTGTAAATTTTTAAGTAGACAAAACATACTCTTTGTTGAGTATGGACCTACAATAGTCTTTTGGGCTTTTACTGATTTGGACCAACAATACCACATTGGATGGTCCAGATCAATTTTGTTTTATATAACGATGATATTGAATTTTTTTTTGTTTACACATGATACTGAATTTGAATCTATTACTTTATCTAAACTATCTAATTTGCTAATTACTAAACCACTTCTAATAACTTTGTTTTAAGGTTTTTTTTTTTTGGCTGTAAACGGCAAAAATTTCTATTTTTCATCAAACGGCCCATTGAAACTCTTAAAACATTAAAATGTAAAGGCCATTATTATGCCATTGTACGTAGCTAACTTCAATCTTGTATTTTTCTAGATGTAGAATATGTATTCTGTACATATAGTAGCCGAATATGACTAATGAGAAATATGACCAACAGGGTGTATGCATGGAGGCTGGAGCAAAGTTCTTTTGAACATGTGAATAGTGCACAGGTATGGTGTGAGAGTCAATTCCTGAAAAAAGAAAGAAAGCGCTGAATAGAAAAAAGAAAGAAAAAGTATTCACTCGAAAAGAATAGGTTGTGGTGTTAAGTAAGCTAGACTTTATAAATGGGAATATGAATTCAAATTTTAAGGATTCAATTCTTATAAAGAGAATTCTCGACATCAAATTTCGATTAGATTAAAAAATAATAATTATGTTATCAAAAAAAAAAAAAAATAATAATAATTAAATCTTTTTAAAATCTAAGTGACCTTTTTAATTAGTTTCAATTATCCCGTTAAACTTGTTCTTTTTAGTCTTGGGCCACCTTTCCCTTCTCAAATTATCTAAAAAAGTTATATCTCTTAAAATTAATATATATATATATATATATATATATATATATATATATGGATTTGGTGTTTGTCATTTTAGAAGAGAGATAGACACAGAAGAATAGAAATCATGGGAGAGAGAAAGTGAGTGGTTTTTTTAATTTAAAATTCAAATTTTCTGTGTCTGTATCTCTCTTAAAATGACATAATTTTCTGTCGTTTAAAATGACAAACACTTTTCCCTATATATATATATATATATATATATATATATATATATATATATATATATATATATATATGGGAAAAACATTTCTCAAGTAGCTTGAGATAAGTTTATTTTCGGCCACCGTAAAATTACGTCGTTTTATTTATTTATTTTCTTATATTAATTGATTTATCTTTGAGTTAATGGTTATGATTCCATTTTTCTCTCTCTCCTTTTATCATCATTGATCCATCTTTGTACGGTTATGATTTAGTAGCCGGAGATAAAATTATCTCAAGCAGCTTGAGAAACGATAAGTCCTATATATATATATGAGGTAGGATCCTTTGACACCAGTGTCAAATTTAAAATTTGACACCTCATCTAAGAGTCGTTAGATCCAAAAAAATCAATAGTGTCATATGTTTATAAATCAGAGTCGTTGATCTTTTTGGATCTAACGGCTCTCAGATGAGGTGTCAAAATTTAAATTTGACACTAGTGTCACAGTGTCTACCTCTCTCTCTCTATATATATATATATATATTCTTCATCAGTTTTTAATTTTTATTTGTCTTATTCTTCTTATCAATTTTTGTCACATTCCCACTGCCACGCATGTCATTTCGACGCACTCTCACAACTCACAAGGACCTTCAATACTGAAGAAGGCTATCCCCTTCCCAATCCCAATTTCAGCTCCACTTTAGCCGAACAAACAACAAGCCCAGCCCAGCCCAAATGTTTCTTTCATATGGGTTTTTGGTTGTCACTTTGGGCCGATTAAACTTTTGTTCCTCTTGTTGTTTGCATATGGCCTCGGAGCTGTGGTATGGTTTCAGTTACTAGGTTAAGGTTTTATTCTTGTTAATAGGTTGGACCAGGTTAAGTGTTACGTTAAATAAACATTTTTTTATTATTAAAAGAAATATAAAAAGGTAAAAAAAAAAAACAGATTGGGTAGAGAAAAATCTATCTAAATTTTTTTTTACAAAAATCTGAGAAATTAATGTTTAAAAAATTACAAAATGCCAAAAAGTTGAAATTGAAAATGTGGATTGGTTTAAATAGAGTTTGATATTTGTGTAATGCTTCTGATTTTATGCCAATGGCATGTTGCTTGTATCAATTATACTTTTTTAAATAATTTTTTTATTTCTTTTAACATTTTATTGTTCTTTATTAATGAATAAAAACTAATTAACTGATAATTATTTCTTAACGTGTTAAAATTTAAAATGCATTTTTTTTTTTTTTTTTGAGATTTCTCTACTATTTCATGGATTAATCTATTAATCCGATCAAGCTGGATAGAATTATAAGGTGATAAATCTCTTCTTACCAAATTTTAACACAGCTATATACTTGTAACTTAAACTCGAGAACACCATTAAAACACTTATCAATTGATTCAAGTGTTTAATGGTTTCATACATAAATCTTTGGACTATGCGGTGGGAGGAGAATGTTTTAATTTTTAAGTACTACATAAAATAAAATAGAATATCACGCAACATACTCACCTATTGTAGGGTAAGAGTACTAAAAATATTCTTGTGCCGTAGTTCGTTGAATGTATGTTTGAAAATACACAACATGTGAATTAACTGGGGTAGTGAGAACTTATCTATTGATTTTGAGTTTGAGTAATTAAAAACTCTATAGTAAGAACTTTGTCAGTCTTGTAATTCTGTGAAATCGGTCAAATTAATTAAATAATTGTGGAGAAATCAATAATAATAATAAAACAGTGGACTGAATCATAGGAATTACTGTGTGCTCACACAGAAGAAAATGAGTTTATTTATTTAAGTGGCGTGCGTATCGAGTAATGTATGTGCCAGAGCATGTTGTGACTAAGAGCAGTTTCGTTAAGAACATAGTTGTTACATTGTAATCTCGTACTCAACCACCATTGACGGAGAAAGCCAATGTCATTTACCATAATTCCAAATATTTCAATTAACCTCATTAATGGTGCCGTCTCCATGCACCTTCTTTTCACGTTCTCCTTCAAACGCTTGCTTCTTCCATATTATTTTCTCTGTTATAATAATACATGGTTATTACCGAAACACAGATACTTGCAGTTTCGAGTAGTCTGCATGGGAGGCGTTAACGGCAAGTATGATAACACACGAAACCGAAACCGAAACCGAAACCGCGAAGTTGAGAGGTTGAAACGTGAAAATGAGAATTCAAACAGAGGTTCTGCAGCTAAACCAACAAGACACAAGGATTATTCAAGGACACATTCATCTAAGCATGTTGTGGAAGTTGAGGATGAGGAGACTAAGAAAAAAGTAGAAGTTAGTACTATTGGAGGAAGAGAAGGAGATGTTAGAAACGATAAGACCAGTGAGGTTGGAAATGTTTCAATGAGATCAGAGGAGAAGAAGAAGATTGCAAGCTATGAATTTGTTGATGGCTGGCCAAAATGGCTTGTTGATAATATCCCCAAAAACTTTTTGGCTAGTTTGGTTGCCAAAAGTGCTGATTCCTATGAAAAACTTGATAAGGTAAATTTTTAAGTAGACAACACACTCTTTGTTGTGTATGGAAGTATCATTTTTCTTTTTCTTTAATCTGGTTTATTAAAGTTGCTCATTAGTCCCAAATAATGGTAACTCAGTCGGCGTATTTGAGCTGAGCAAATGGGGATGAGTGATCCTTCCCGTACCATCTTTGAGAGAAATTTAAAACTTTAATTTTAGACCCGTCGCGAGACCTCCCGTGAAGGATACCTGTGGTTTATCCAAAAAAAAAGTTGATCGTTAGTTTCAGGATGTTCTTTAATTTTCCTTCATTGCATGCATGTATGTTGAGGAAAGAGTTTAATTTTGGCTCTTTTGAGTTACATATAGTAACTTGTTTTTTCTTTTGGGTTACAGGTAGGACGTGGAACATATAGCAATGTGTACAAAGCAAGAGATAAGGAAACTGGGAAGATTGTTGCTTTGAAGAAGGTACGGTTTGATACATCAGATTCTGAAAGCATAAAGTTTATGGCAAGAGAGATCATGTTACTGCAGGCACTGGATCATCCCAATGTTATCAAACTTGAAGGATTAGCAACATCAAGGATGCAATATAGTCTTTATCTAGTTTTTGAGTACATGCAAACCGACCTTACCAGAATTATTTCCCGCCCTGGGGAAAGACTCACTGAACCACAGGTTGGATTTCTTTCCTAGGATTTTTAACGGTTACAATTTTGAGATATTTGTTGAGACTGAACCCAAATACACACAAACGATAGTAAAGTAAAAGAGAGAAAGCAAAGAAAACAGAGACACAGAACCCTGATTCGCCCAATGTGTACTATATCCAACAATATTCTTCTCGTAAGTCAGAGAAATATAAATAGGCTTAGAAAACCAAAGCAACAATAGCTATTCATGAGCCCAAGCTCAAATTATTAAAAGAGAGAAATAAAATAAAATAAGTCTTAGGTCGATAATAGTACCAGATCTCTGTCGGTTGGCTTTCTCCACGTCCTGCCAACAAGAGTCATACCATGTGATTTGTCTGTTGCTAGGAAAGTTTATATATATATTGTCACGGGGGAGGGTTATATTTACAAACTTTTTTTATAAATTTTTACAAATTACACTATGTACTCCCGGGAGAACACTAGGTTACACTATATTCTCCCGGAAGTACATAGTGTAATTTGCAAAAATTTATAAAAAAAATTTATAAACGGATCTTTTCCCTATTGTTACATGTAGATCACCAAAATGATTTGTTTCTTTTAGTTACTCTTGTTTTTTTGTTTCTCAATAACTACTGGGTTTACAGCTCGAACTTTCAAATTCTATAGTCACTTTCTAAGTTGTACATATTTGATATTTGGTTAAGCACTTTGTGATAATGGTAATGCAGTGCTTTGGTTGTATTGTATACAGATAAAGTGCTATATGCAGCAGCTGCTTTTGGGGCTCCAGCATTGTCATGAGAGGGGAGTTATGCACCGAGATATTAAAGCTTCTAACTTGTTAATAGATAAAAGAGGGGTGCTAAAAATTGCAGATTTTGGGCTTGGATATTCCTTTGCTATTAGACCTGAAGGGCCTCTTACAAATCGAGTTGTGACACTTTGGTATAGAGCTCCTGAACTTCTTTTAGGCTCAACTGATTATGGATATGGCATTGATCTATGGAGTGCAGGATGCTTGTTGGCTGAGATGTTTGTTGGAAGACCAATTATGCCCGGGAGGACAGAGGTAAAACTTTATTTGGACTATATGAAAATATTGAAAGATTTTAGCTTGGACACCATACACAATGATGTCATGTTAAAGTAATTCTTGCTTTTCTTTTTCCCAGTCCTTTTGTCCTCCATCTCTTGCTGAGTGAGGCTATACATGATTGTTTGTGTCTTCAATGAATCTAATTCTTGTTCTCTTGTCATTGCTAACATGCCCCTCTTTTAAAAGAATCTATTCAGTAAAGCTTCTTATTAGAAATACAATATAATGTGTTTTCACCTAACAATTTTTGGAAAAGTTGATTTATGACATAGTATTAGAATCCATATGATGAGAGCATTTTTAATACTTTCGTCGCATCTAGTAATGGATACTATTACCATTCAAAACGAGACATCTGTATTTAATAAGTAAGTCGTTAGCGACTGTCTTCATTTTTCTCTCTCCTCAGTACTGACATGACAACATGTTAGCGCTAGTGTCTTGTTTTTATTGGATGGATGTACCGAGTAATAGGTGCGATGGAAGTATTTCAAATATTTTTCTCCATGACCAAGTCGCCTAGGGTTAGTTTAATTTTTAATAAATATTGTGAAATTTTCTAGCGTAAGATAGGTTAAAATATAATATAAAAACTATTGAGTTATGTTTTGGAAAAGATGGTTCATCACACTTTTGGAGTGTGATAAGCTAATAAGAATTTTATGTATATAGGTAGAACAGCTTCACATGATCTTCAAACTTTGTGGTTCACCTTCAGAGGATTTCTGGAAAAAAATGAAGCTAACAACAAGCTACCGTCCACCTCAACATTACAAAGCTAATTACGAAGAAAACTTCCAGGTTTTTCCTTCGTCTGCCCGTGGTCTCTTGATCACACTTCTTGATCTAGACGCTGACCGTCGTGGCAGTGCTGCCTCTGCTCTTGAAAGTGAAGTGAGCTCTTCTCTTGTTGCTAATGATATTTCAAGTCACTTTTCTGTTCTGTTACTTTTAGATAATGAATTGATGACTTAGTAAGAGTGCTGAGATTCAAATCTCTTTCGTTGCATTTGTGATTATGAATAGTCACTTGCATTCAACTTTTAAATGCAAGTGGCACCGGTTACTAATAATAGGTGTAAGAGGAGTTAGATTTACAGGAGTGTAAGTTAGATACTACCATTTTAATAAATCCTACAATTTTTTGGGGAGACTTTAATATATAAATGTGAAGGGGATAATTATTGTTGGGTTTTTCATATTTCATCAGTTTTCACTTTTCAGCAAGAACATTGATATAACATTAAAATAATGTCCTGAAGTAGCCACATGATATTTGGAGTTAGTAAGGATTGATTTGTTAATAAATTTTCAAGTCTCATCTGGATGAATAAACTTTCAAAAGTTTGAAGAAAAAACAGAGAATTTCATATAATTTCCTAACCTACATCAATTTTATGTATCCTAGAAACATATTATATTATTTTAAAAGGATTACTGATTCTTATATTGTAGGACATAATTTTATCTCTTACACACATAAAAGCATATAGAGCCCATAATTTTTTTTTTCTCTTTTACGTACTTTTATGTGTGTTTAGGAAATAAAATAATTCAAATTTGCAATATGCTAAATTGTTTACTGCATACAGTTCTTCAAATCTAGTCCATTAGCATGTGACCCTTCAGCGTTACCAGTAATCCACAAAGACGAGGATGAACGCTCACAAACTAAGAGACGCAGAAGGTATGCTATCAGTTTAGAAGTGGGTCAGTGGAGAAAACAAAATCCAGCATTGTGGCTTCCACATACTTAATAAGATATTTCTAGATAACCAATGTGGACTGAATTATGTGTTATTGATAGTATTGGATTTCATAGGACTTAAATTGACCCTTGGTTTGTTGCTTTTGATGATGATGATATAGGCGCAAGAGTTTGAAAAAGGGCAAAGTATCTCAAACAAGTACAAGCAATGTAAGCCTGTCAGGAAAGAACCAAATTGCTGAACAAAGCAGCAGAGATTTTGAAACATCAAAGGAGGTGAGTCGTAAATTATTAGAATAATTTCTTTTTATACCGTGTGTTACACGTTACTACCAATTAAACTTTAACAATTTTTAAGTTTGATAAAAAAATAAAAATGAATCGTATGTGTAGTACCCTGATAAAATGATAACTGAGTCATTATTAATGGAATTTTTTTTACTAAATCAGTTTTTCAACAATAACAACTCATCAAGATATTGGTAGCCAAAGAAACGAGTGTGCTTTAGCAAGTCCCATATATGATTTCTAGTTCTTTTTCACAATCATACAGAGATTCAATGGCTTGTGCACCTTTTTTGGTTTTGACAGGAGAAGAGTATGGAACAAAGCTTGCAAGGTCAAGAAACGGGGAATAGTGGAAGCAGCAGGTCGTCACAATTTATGAGCGAAAGGAGCATGAATGCATCTATATCCCCAGTTTTCCTCTCTAGTGGGAGAAAATCCCCCAAAACTGAGGGCCATCCTAATGCTCTTAAGAACATAAAGAACTACACCCTCTTACAGGCATCTATCATTGATATCATCAATCGCAACGAAGGCGATGAATCGGGCCAGTTGCGTAGGTCCTTTTCTGCGTTGGATTTTAGGCTTGATCCAGCGAAGCTATCAAGTATCTACGGATCAAGCAAGAAGTTGGACCATGAAATGTGATTATCTTTACCTTATTTTGTTCCATAATTGATCATGTGCTCTGAAGTCCGAATATTTTAGTTCTAGTACTAGTATTTATATTTATTTGAGCCACTCTTCCATCTTGGAAACCCGTGTGATAAAATAAATGAGTCCTTATTTTGGACATATTATATAACTTGGAAAATTTGTGTGATTGTTACTTTCTCAAAAGAGAAAGAAATAGTTAGAACATATCTATTGCGAGAAATGCTCAAGTTACAACGAATTGTGCCGTGTGCTGTATTTCACTTAAATTCGATCAGGAACTATTCTTTTTTTTGTTAAAAGCACCGGCATACATAAAAATAATAATATTGAGACAGAGATCAAAAGCCCATTAAAAATATTGTTAAAAGTGGCAGAGCTACCATTGAACAAAAATTTGTCAGAATTTAAGCACAATGTAATGTAAGATATATTATTATGCCATCTAATCGCTTAAAGTTGGCCAAAGCCAAAAGTGCTACCAGCAAACCTGGAATAATAGAACCCTCTGCCATATCCATGATGACCAGCATAGTTAACTTCGTAGTTTGTACATCATCATCACGATTCTTTTATATGCGTTCTTATCATCATATTTTGGTTAAATTTGATGCCATTTAGAAATGATAGCCAGTACGTATTCATATGTTGACACCCTTGCTTAAACGCGGTTTACATACAATGAAAAAGCTATTTATCACTGACGCCCAAAGAAATCAGCACCATCCTCGACATCATCAGTTTTAATGCATCCCCTTTGCGCCATCAGAATTCTATACACACGCTTTGAACAAACCTCACCTAGCCTTCTGTCACCACCAAGCAAACCTTCTGTCATCAAGTCTTTGAGTAGGAATTCCTTCTCATGCTCCTGTGGCGATAAAAGTAGTGTTATCCTTATATTGCATCTTCTATCATTAAGAGGGATAATAAAAACTTCGGGTCATCTATTATTTTATCAGCAATTATTTGTTACTAAAGCAACTAAAAGATGTCAAACAAACTGCATTTTACTGTGTCCAATTTACTGTGGCAAATCAGGAAGGTCAAAGCAAAAAAGGCAATCTAACACGTACCGATTTATTTGGATCCATATAAACACTTAACAGGGACTTCATGGTTGGGTATTTCTTCCAAATAGCAATAGCAAATCGTGGCTGTACCTTGGGGATAGCAACCAAAGCTTTTAACCTAGTGATAGAAGCCAAAGTGAGGAACACAATGCAATGATGCAAAGCGAACTGAATATGATATTGCCTAAATAAAAGGCCCATTTACTCCAAAATCAAGTAGTTTGACTTAATAAGTATAAATATATAAATTTTTTAGAATATTGTTGGCTGAGTACACTGAAGACGGGAAATCCAAATATTTCTGGTCAGCTGGATATCAAGCATTTCTACTACAGATGATAAAGTATAAAAGTATCAGAAAAGTTCATTGCAGAAACGATGAATTTCATATAAACAAAAATAACACAGGCCACCAAGCAGTATATTCCTTTTATTTGTGGAGATGAGGAAACTTTATTGATAGAAAGAGAAAAGAATCGAAAAAATGAAGGAGAACATTTATTCTTGATCTTGAATGAATAGAAAAGAAGCTACAGAATCATATAGCAGGGTCTTCTGAGTAAATTTGATATAGACTAATAAAACCCATCCTAAAATGCCAAAGGCAGACCACTGTAAAGTAAAAAAAGAACTAGGATACACCAAATTAAAAAGAAACAGCAAACTGGTTCTTATATATTTAGAATTCTGCTCAAATCAAACATATCAAACCACTACAAATATTAATACCTTTAAAGAATCTTTCCTTCTAACTACTTCAATAATCCTTAACTAAGTTGTCTCGATATTGTTAGGACAGACCCAATTTCACCAAACACTCAACCCCATCTACATCTACCTTGTTAAACAGTAATTTCTATTATCATATCATAAAATTCATCAGATAATACATTTTAAGTAACAAAAGATGCCAGGTGTTCCTAATAATAACTGTGAACACAAAATATAATGAAAAACTTCACCACGTGTCTGCAGGGTTAAGCTAAATAATCACTTGTCTTTTATGTGACAGCAGGGAGTCTAATGCAAAAGTTTGTTATGAAGTCATTACAAACAATAGCTTCCTAATTATATGTCATTGGACAAACTAGATTGGTTAAATTATTATCATGAATCAACTATCCCAAAAGTTTTAAGCATAGGTGAAGATACATGAATGGTTTTATTTGTATCCTTAAGAGACCCCCTAACACAAGAGTTCTTTGGGCTTGAAGCATAGACGATGCATAATCCCACTTATCTCGTTCTGAAATTCAACTTTTTATTAGAAGAATTGGAGCGTGAAGATCAAACTCTAGACCACTTTGATCATATAATCTCTGGTCATGTCATGAACCAACTATCCTAAAAGCTTAAGTTGTTTGGTGAAATCGCTACATCTTTGACAATTAGCATCTTGGAAGATATAGCATTTCATATCATTTTCAATCCTTGTCAACATTTAAAAAAAAATAAAAATTGTAACTCTGGGAGTTAATTCAAGTGTCTATGATAAATTCTCGAACAAACTCTTAAACATACAATTGAAAAAGTCAAACACATATTAAGAACACAACTGGACAAAAACAAGTTACAAAAAATGAAGCAAGGTAAACAACAATTGTAATGAGTAATAGAAATAGAGCCAGTTACTGGTTTCAAAGAGCTTATGCAATAGAAAAATTACAAATCCTCCAAACAAATCAGCCTAATAATTCTCTTAATTACCTAAGAAAAAAGAATTAAAAGCGTTTGCATTGGCAAGATCTTAAATGCTTATGCATTTTCATTTAATACTTCTTGTTTTAAGTAATTAAGAGGATGTTATCATTTCTGTGCAACACAACAATGTAAAAATACTCACCACAAAGATTTCTTTATTAAATTCCGGTCAACACTGTCCTTTGGAATAAGGGATCCATTTGCATTTACAGATAATCGAGTTAACTTCTTTCTGCAGTTCAAATGAACAAATATGGTCCAACATTGAAAAAAAAGAAGATAAATTAAACAACAAATATGGAACATCTTTAGTGGTATTATGTCTTCAAAATGATACCAAAATTTAGTACATGTAAGTTGTTCTTGAAAACTGAAAATAAATGCTTCAATACAAATTTAAATATGCATGAAAAATGGGGAAAAAAGAGAAAAAATAAAAAGAAAACAATGGATTTATTTTTTATAGCATATCGGACCCTTTCATAGATATAGCAAAGAATCAGTAGACATATCAAATTGCATCTTTCATTAACCTATATTTTCATGGATTTAGCATTAGTGGTTTCACATGTAGAAGTTTTGCATATAAAACTGTTTCCGGTAAAAGATTGGCAGGATTCTAATTAAATGCCAAATATAGAGGAATCAGGTACCTAAACTGACAAGATGCCAGGCTGCATGTCAAACCAACAACATGTTCAGCCAGTTCAGCCTCATCTACACACTGCCTGGAATGAACTTTGGTGAAATGAGTTGTTAGTTTTGCCAGCACCTACAAGATAATTTAAAACAAAAAAGATAGACGTAGTTAGACAAGAAGATAAAGATTAAAAACATGACTTATTCCTTGTAATTTGAATATGGAAGACCAGTTATTCAACCTCCTCAACCGGTGGACGTTTCCAACAACTATTCTTTTCAGGGTTCTTGTATTTTTCCTGTTCCCTAACATATCATAAAAATCAATGTTTCAAAAAAAATATTGTGAAATGAAGAAAAAAATTATAGGTTATCAATAGATTGGCAAAAATATCAGAAATCAATGCCAGATATTTAAATAACATAATATATGGAAGGAAAATACTAGTATGTGTGGATTTGCATGTGTCAAGAAGGTTGTTTGCACTGAGCAGCATCCTTTTGGCCATTTTTCATCACATTTGGCAACCAGGTGCAGAATGCATCCTGTGCCTTACACAGCATGAAACTTTATATTCAGCACTACGGTTTTCTTTCTTTTGGCTGAAAGAAATACATTTTGGCATATATTGCACATGATTTTCCAAATTTCATCATTTACACTTAAAAAAAAACAAAAATCTACATCTATAAAACAATAAAAAAAAAACTTTTACAGCATGCAACTCAATCTTGCATTTATAAAAGTATGATATTGAAAACAAATGTTTAGAATAGAAAATAAGATGCATGTTTAAGGTTCTCACACAAGAAAGGCCAGTAAAACATGTTTCCAAATTCCAATTGCATAATATTTTACTTTTACATTCATATAATTTTCAACAGTGGGTATGAAAATATAAAAGTTTATAGGGACATAAATGAATATGGATGGGTACCTGACCATTTACCTAATTACTCAAACGGGTGATGATTGATGAGTCGGGTTTGTGTTTATATTTAGAGCTTTACAGGTTATAAATATGGGTATGATTTTTGTAAATTTAACCTGTTTGCTCAAATATAATATAATGTAAAAAAGTTATTAAGGACTTCTAACTTTTTTCCTAATATATATTCCTTTAATTCGTTTTGGGAGTTCGATTGAAACCCGATATTAAGTCATGCAGAGGTGGAGATGGATTAGCAAATCTACACAGAGATATGTGCATGCACACAGATTAACAACTTAGCTCAATGTACAAAAACATAAATGTGAGCAATTGCTAGTAAATATTAAGTACTAAGAAGATTGTAATATATCACTCACCTTTTATTAATGTAAGCCAATAACCTATTGGTGAGGTAACAAACTGTATAGCTTGGATAACGACTTCGAATGCTAGAGAGTTGATCCAAAAGAGAATCATTCATGGCAATGTTACAAAATTTGTCAGCCTCATAAACTAGTAAGACATATGGAATCTCAATTCTTTCAGTAGAAATCTGCAAATAATAAATGAAAATGATATCTGTGAAAAACAGAATCCTCACAGACATTTCATCTAACTTGGCGATTAAAGAAATAAATGTTTTAATAAGATATTTAAATATAATTTCTCAATAGCCATGACTTTGAAAGTTCATCACATCTACAAGACTACACCTGAGGCAAAAGAGTTATGCACAGACAAACAGTTATGATAATGTAACCAACAAAGCAAACACAGGTAGTACAGCTAGAACTCTTGTAACTAATTGCTCTTTTCCTCCTCCCTGAATTTAGCCTCTCTTTTTCAAAACACATTCACTACTCCATAAGAATTCCAGTCACAGCACTAATCAGCTTACAATCTATTAGTGTCACAAAAAAAAATTAAAAGGTTAACCATGTCAGTTAACCCAAATTTAAAACAGTACAAAAGAATAACCTACTTAGAACTTTCAAAAATAAAATAAAATAAAATAAAAATATGACACTGTATACAGCAACCAAATGACATGGATATAAATAGACCAAAAAATAAAAGAAAATAAATAATACAGCTTAAAATCAGAGAAATGCTTCATGAAATTGGTGCTTAAAGATGAACTACATGCATTTCTTACCTGTGAAATATGTTCTGGAACTTTCATAGACCATAAAATTGACCCTGTGATTGGATTAGATGTAATATGGTATGTAAGACCTTTTTCAGCAAACCTTGTAAGCAGATGTCCTGAAGAAAAGTAATAGAAATTTCATGAGAAAACAACCACAATTAAGAAATTACATTAAAATTTATATTTTAGTTATGAATATGATTTCAGATAAGAAAGAGAATATAAGTTTTATTAGAAAATAATCATAATGTAGGGACCTAAATAGAAATTTATCATGTAGTTATGGATTCAGATATTAAAAAGCTACCTCCAATTGAACCTGATTCAACTACCTTCGCATCAATTTCTGCCACAATAGATTTTATTGCAAACTTCCCCTTTTCCCACTTCTGCTTTTCTTTTTCAATCTTCTTCAAATCTGCAGCTTCAGCCTTTAGAGCTGCTTTTTTTAACTTCTCTTGCTGAAGAATTTTTTTTCATAAGCTATTACATTCTGAATCATGAATGATTTATAGTATAAACATTGATCAGAGCTATAAAGTGAAACATACTTCCTTCTGTAGTTTCTTTTCCTCCATAAGGCGACTTCTTTCTTCTTTCGTCATCTTTGTTTTTCCCATTGCCTTGGTTGTGCTCTTTTGATAAACTTTGGATCTTTTCATATTTTCAACATTCTCCTCCAGCTGATTCTCTCAAATGCATGGAGCAAAATGCAATAAGCACCAGAAAATTAACACAACCCACTTTTTCATTTAAAGAAAAAAAGATTTGAAGAAACTCATTTTATATTACCAACGAAAATCAAATAGCAAATAAATGATCAAATACATACATGTGCATAAACACAACATAGAAAATAATTATCAAATGACTAACCACTTGTGAAGAGGTTGGATTTGAAGGATTGTCCCCAGACATTTCAGTTTGAGAAGCATTTCCACATGAAATATGCCTCTCTGTAGTTTACAATTAAAAAAACAGATAAACAAAGCATTTCAGGTGGTGAAGAACAAGTGTAACTTGTTAACAAGCATATACCAGGAGAACTTGCAGAACCAATTGAATTTGAAGTCCATCTTGAATATCCAGCAACGTCCAAAGACATGCCCCTTGTTTCATTCTCATTCCAATTGCCCATTCCATAATTCTCCGACTCATTATCTGATTCCAAACATATCATTTGACTAATTCCTGAACAACAATGCACATGGAGTCCAGCTAAATGTTCACCTCTCATAGAATAAAGAATATTTCAAAGGAAAAAAAAAATCAATTTTAATTGATGAAACAATCAACAAAAAACAAACAAACAAACTGCGCAGAGAATAAACAGCAACCATAAAGCATGGCAAACTCCACTACAAAACCAAGAGCTGCGGACTAGCACGGAAACAAGCAAATACCCTGCCAAATACAAGTCCAATTTTATTTATTTATTTAAAAAAAAAAAAACAAATTGATTTGTCATATTTGAAGCCAGCAATGTGGATCAAAACAGCACAGAAGCGTAATTCCAGTGTACCAATAAAATATGCAGTGAATAGCCATTGATTAACTAGGATTAAGTAATGCTAGGGTTCCAGTGGGGAAAAAATTTGAATTATTGGTTGTGAGAAAATTAACTGACCCGAGAACTTTTTAGGGTCGGAAGGCGAAACCCTAAGGAGGGGATCAGAATGAGAAGAAGGTCTTGTGCATTTCACGATTGCAACGTCGGAATCCAAGAGTGCAGAAATTGGAGTCTCGGCAACGACAGAAGGCGTTGGCGATTGAGAATGACATTGCTGCTTCTGTGGGGTTGGGTCATCGTCGACGATGAGGACCGTCCGGTTCGGGTCCGGTTCGGTTCGGCGTTTCTTGGAATGGACCGTGAATGGGGTTGAGGGGTCTTCTTCGTCGGAGAGGATGATCGGTTCCATCATTATGAGCGCCTCCGACAGTTTCCGTCTTCGAATAAGCGCGGGATCGTTTACGAGAGGATGTGTTTGGTCACCGAGATATCATATCCAGATTCCAGATTGTCTGACACCAAACTGGGCTCAGCTTATCACTGTTTACTACTACCAAGTACAAAAATTTATCCATATTTAATTATTTTGTTTACAAAAATGCAGTTTATCTTTTATTTAACAAGAATAATATTTCTCCCATAAACATGATAAATTTATCTTTTATATATGGGTTAAGATCATTTTACACCAGTGTAAGTTACACTCTTAATCTTGTCCACTGATTCCATTTATATCTAAGGGCTCAAATTTTTTAGCAATGTGAGCCATTGGATACAAGTGGATCAATGGTCAAGATTGAGTGTAAGACTTCTAACTCTTACACCAGTATAAGAATATCCTGCCCCTTTATTTATATATATATATATTAACTGAAATTCATTTTTTTCTCTTTATTTTTCAAAGGGTGGTCATTTCTATGTGTGTGTGAAGGAGAACAAATAATCTCATATTCACGGCAAAAATATTAAACTTTTAATTAATTGAAAAAAATATTTCTTCAACCCTTGTTACAGTTTCGCGTGCTTTCAGTAGTTCTTTTGCTTCTAATAAAAATTCTCCCGTTTCTGTCTTCAAAATATGCTTCATTAATTTTCAAATTCCCAAAACAATATAATTTTAGAGTCGGTAGATATAACTTTATCTTGACAAGAGAACCAACAGACCCACATCTTTTTTTTTTTAATTACATGACATGGAGGTAGGGGTGGCAATTTTGGTTGACCAGTCCCAACCCGCCAAAAATGGGACGGGGTGAGTTGACCCGTAAAAAAATATGGGTTGAAAAAATGAACTCCACCCCGTTTTATGGTGGGTTGACTGGTCAACCCACCAACCCGCCAATTAAAAAAATTAATTAAAATTCAAAAATAAATTATATTTTATGAATTTTTCTAATATTATTTTATTTTATTTCACACTTCTCCATATTTTTTTAGTCTCAATCTTAAATGCATACTAATATTTGTCAAACATTCTTTAGGAACTTATATATAGATAACATTTGTCATAAATAAAAGTGTTATTCTTTATTTTTTCTAGGAAGTACTAAGATAAAAAAAAATTTGGATATCATAAAATTTTTAAGGACTAATGAAATACTACTTAATTGTAAAAAAAATAAAAAAAATTATAACCCGGCGGGTCAACCCGTCCCGCGACAGGTTAAACCCGTTTTGATCCACTTCTAAGTGGGGTGGGTTGAGGTGGGTTGAAAACCTCAACCCAACCCGCCCTGTTTTGGCGGTCTGACGGGTTGACCCGTCGGGCTCAACCCATATTGCCACCCCTGCATGGAGGAATTAGATTGACGAGATTTTGTGTTTGAAAAAAAAGTTTATGACCTAAAATTAAATATAAATGTTGTTAAGTTTCACACAAAAGAAATAAATATAAAAATCAATAATACATATATTACATAAGATTTACAATTTAAGTGGCATCGAGATTCTGTAATAACTTTTTAACTTAGCTTTTACCACATTTTTTTTATATACTTCTATAGATTTTATATGTGTACGTGTATTGTATAGTCAGATAACCTGAAATTTATGATGAGTAAGAATTAGGACTATTGTTTATATGTTACGAGGATATGATTATCTTTATACTAGTGACACCTTTAACAAAATATATTCTTCGTATATCAAGATGTCAATATTTTAGAGAGAGAATTATAGTGAAATATATATCATGTTTTTGGAGCACACGTATATGTGCGATATTTTTGCAATATTTTACTAGATTTTAACATGTATTTAATAAATATGTAGTGAGTTTGATTCCTACCAAAAATATTTTCGAAATAGGTCAGGAATTTTAATTATGACTAAACTCTAACTCATGATTAGTTTTATAATCAGATCAAAGAATTGAAATTTGTGAAATGCCCCCAAGCTGATATTTTGTAAGAATAGGAATACTTACATGGGTTCTAAAAAAAATTCAATCTTGTTTATTCATGTACTGCAAGTTGATATTTTGAAAGAATAGGAAACTATCTGCTGTTGCTGTTGATTCCTTAATCAATTATATGACTAGTTGGTTGCTGATCAATTACGTAATTTCAATGGCAGCTTCTGGAGAAAGCTCTTGAAGAATGTGGCAATGATCTTGATTCTGCTATCAGAAGCTTAAATGAGCTTACGTTAGGAGGATCTGTTCAGAAGTCACTTGGTTCTGCTGACATTGGATCTGATGCAGCTGTTGATCTTAATGCTCAACTTCAACAGAAAGGTATGCATGAGAGGCAATATTGTCTTAAAGTTAGTTGAAGTCAGACTCGAGATTATTCAATGCTTGCAGTGCAACAGATGCTTGATGAGCATTAGTTTCCTTGTGTTTTAGAATTTACATTGCCCCAATTGTATTTTTAAAAATTAATACATGGGTTCTGAATCTTTGTGGGTGTTGTTATATGCTAAATTAAGGTTTAATCCACACCAGTTTGCATTTTTTGAAGAATTAAAAAAAATCCAAATTTCAATGGACAAGACAATATGTGGGTTCTAAGTTTTTGTTGTTTTTATAGCTACTTCAAATCATAACCTTTATTTAATTTTACATATTATTCTTGTTACATTCAAAGCCTGCTAAATTAGTGGTGTCACTGGCCATTTCTGGCTGGATGGGGATTTGTTGAATGGATGAAATGGCCAAGTTTTCTAGGACATGTGTTTTCTTTAAAGCAGGTTTCTTTTGCCGATTGAGAGTAATATTAATCATTGGTATGGTTCTAGAGATGTGAAGTTAATATTAATCATATCACTGGTTATTTTGTTGTAGGTGAAGGCTATTGAGATATATAGTCCCACATTGGTTGTATGTACAATTAATGTGGAGTTTATAAGGCCTTGGGCACTCCCACCCTTTGAGCTAGCTTTTGGGGTGGTGTATCCCAAGGTTCTTTACATGGTATCAAGCCTAATGGGCTGTGTGAAGGGGCGTGTTGAGATATATAGTCTCACATTGGTTGTATGTGTAACTAATGTGGAGTTTATAAGGCCTTGGACAGTCTCATCCTTTGAGCTAACTTTTGGGTGGTGATCTCAAGGTTCTTAACATGATATCAGAGCTTGAGTGACTATAAGGTCACAAGTTCGCCTCACTGTCCCCCACTTTAAATGGAAGCACAGATTGGGCCGCCTGTTGCATAATCCACGCTTCAAGCCAACTAATGTATAGTCCCACATTGGGCACTCCCAACCTTTGAGCTAGCTTTTGGGGCGGTGTATCCCAAGATTCTTTACAAAGGCAAATGTGATGCGGAAGTTGCAGCTTCTGATGATCCAGTAGTAGCCGGACAAAATTATCCTATCAATGGTGCTGAATGGGTAGAGCTTTTTGTTAAAGAAATGGTGAATGCTTCAAACATGGATGATGCCAAAGAGCGAGCTTCAAGAGTTGTAGAGGTTCTGGAGAAATCCATTTGTGCACGAGCAAGCGCAGAAACAGAAACGAATTTCCACCAGGTGTCATTGACTCATTGTCATTGCACCAGATACCATGCACTGTTATTCTTCTTTCCATCTTCACTCGTTCACACGCAACTTCGTGTTCATTATGGATTGCATGCCGGTTGTTATGTTGGAGGATTATAATTCTTTTTTCCATCTTTTGCTTCTTTATGGGTCATTTAGATTTTGGTGATCGGAGGTGATGATATAAATCCGCCTTTTCCTCAGAATTAAAATTTAGTATCCTGCTGTTAAGAGTGTTAGTGTTAATAGTGTAGAAATCCCATATTGAGTGTGTCTATTTGTATTCTTCAATTGGTTTGCTATATAATAGCACCAATGTTGTGTAGTTTAATAAAATAAGGATTACTATCATTTCCTCTTGTATCTATGATATTCAACATGGTATCTAGAGCCTAACAAGAGGAATCTTAATCGTTTAACTTAGTTCTATTTTCCATAATTTCAATATGGTTATAGAGAGATATCACCCTCCTTGAGGGATTCCCGTTGCTATTTCGTTTTCGGGTTTTTCTTAGTATGCACTGTGACTGCAGCTTAGACTGATTTGTCACATCAGAAAAGAATGATCCTTGGGAAGTTGTTGGGTTGACCACCGTTGTCGTTGACCGACCACCGTTGACCGTGTCGTCCACCGTTGACAGCCGTCTCCGGCGACTTTTCCGATGACTTTCCGGCGACTTTTTCGGCGATCCACCACCGTCTCCGACGACTTTTTCGATTCCGCGAAGCTTTGTTTTTCTTTAATCTTCTTTCTTCCCAAGATGGAGTATTTATATTATTCATCATCCATCTTGAGGGGGAACACTGACCAAGTTGCTGATGTTGTCTCCGCTGATGATAATTCTGACACTGTTTAGAAGTTCCTCTTAACGGGGAGCACTGTCCATGTTGCTGATGGTCATTCTAGCACAATTGTCTTTGCTGATGATAATTCCGGCATTGCCGATGATAATTCCGGCACTGTTTAGAAGTTCCTCTTGAGGGGGAGCACTGTCCATGTTGCTGATGGTCATTCCAGCACAATTGTATTTGCAGATGATAATTTCGGCACTGTTTAGAAGTTCCTTTTGAGGGGGAGCACTGTCCATGTTGCTGATGGAGTCTCCGCTGATGATAATTCTGGCACTGTTTAGAAGTTCCTCTTAACGGGGAGCACTGTCCATGTTACTGATGGTCATTCCAGCACAATTGTCTTTGCCGATGATAATTCCGGCATTGCCGATGATAATTCTGGCACTGTTTAGAAGTTCCTCTTGAGGGGGAGCACTCTCCATGTTGCTGATAGTCATTCCAGCACAATTGTATTTGCCGATGATAATTCCGGTACTGTTTAGAAGTTCCTCTTGAGGGGGAGCACTGTCCATGTTGTTGATGGTCATTCCAGCACAATTGTCTTTGCCGATGATAATTCCGGCACTGTTTAGAAGTTCCTCTTGAGGAGGAGCACCGTCCAGGTTGCTGATGGTCATTCCAGCAAAATTGTCT